AGCTTGGAAATCCTGCCGTGAAGGATACAGGATTGGTCTGCACTCTTGTGCCGGACCCAATGGAACCCCCAGGGCCTCACTCCCTGCCGCGCTAACCTCCTTCCGGGCAGATGGGAGTGAATTCCTCTCCCCTCAACCACCACCACCCTAAGACTTAGAAGCCTTTCTGATTCACTGGTCAAATACCTCAGCTCGATTCGATTAAAAATTCATTGGCTTTTTTTCCTGTAAAAAAGAATAAATAAGAGAGCAAACAGCAGGGGCTGAGGCTGTAAACTGAAGTGTGAAAGCCCAAACAGGCTGAAACCGTCGCAGGGAAAACCGTCGGCTCCAGAGCACTTTTTCCAAAACTGCCAGCCTTCCAGAGGGGAGACTGAACTGGTTCTCATTTCCAGTACCCCCGACAGCACATTACCCTGGCCAGGCTCAATTTTTCTCCCTCTTCATCCCCAAACCCATCCTTGAAGGTAGTCCAATCCCCCTAACTTGGCCCTCTTCTTTCTGGCCATGCCCTTCAGCATTCGTGCCAAATCTTCCTTAAACTGGCTCAAATCATCATCCTCCAGGCCTCCTGCCAGGGGTCCCTCTCTCTTCTCCTTTTCCCGCCTCTCCCTCAAACCAGCTTTTGGCCATTTGCTGGCAAATAATAAATCTACAGGCTAAAAAGAATCCATCTTTCATTCGATGAAGGCTCTCGAGACATCAATTCTTCCTTAACCTATTTCTATCTCCTGAGCTGGGCCCATGGTAGGTGTTCAATGAGGATCAGCCGGTAGGGCCGGCCAGGCGCGTGAACAGTGAGCAGCTGACCGCCCAGAGCGTCCCTGCCCCGTGACCGATGTGAATCCCAAGAACTGCTTGGACTCAGATACGGGGCCAGGCCCAAAGTCATCCAGTTGGAGAGCTGCCCGATACAAGAGAAAAAACAAAAAAAAGGGAATTTGGAAGGGAGACGTGCCTGATTTGAATTTTGGCTTCCTCTCTGGCTATCTGAGTGTGCTGGGGCAAGCTGCTTCACCTCTTTGAGACTTAATTTCCTTATTTATAAAGTGAGATGAGCCTATAATGAGATACCAATTCACACTCACTAGGATGGTTATAATAAAAAAGACAGATAATAACAAGTGTTGGCAAGGATGCGAAGAGATTGCAACCTTTATGCGCTTGGGTGAGAATGTGAAATGGTGCGGCCACCTTGGGAAACAATCTGGCAATTGTTCAGAAGTTGAAACGCAGAGCTGCCACGTGACCCAGCAATTCTATTCCCAGGTGTCTCCCCAGAGAAAGGAAAACATACATCTGTACAAGGATTTGGACACCAATGTTCACAGCAGCCTTAACAGCCAAAAAGGGGTAACAACCCAAGTGTCCCTCACCTGATAGATGGATTAGCAAACCGTGCTACCCCCGTGCGATGGGATATTATTTGGCCCTCAAAACCTGCTACGACACGGGTGGGCCCCGAAAACACGATGCAAAGTGAGACAAGCCAGACACAAAAGATCACATATTGTATGAATCTATTTATATGAAATGTTCAAAATAGGCGAATGCATAGAGACAGAGAGTAGATCAGTGGTTGCCAGGGGCTGGGAGGAGGGGAAAGAGCGTGATGAAAATGTTCTTTTGGGGGGTGAGGAGATATTCTAAAATTAGCCAGTGGGGATGGGTGTGCTACTCTGTGAACATACTACAAACCATTGAACTGCACACGTCACCAGGGTGAATTGCAAGGTGTGTGGATTTTAGCTCAAGAAAGCTGTTATTTTGAGAATGTGATGGGTAAGGGCGCCTGGGTGGCTCAGTCGGTTAAGCGTCCGACTCTTGGTTTCGGCTCAGGTCGTGATCTCACAGGTTCGTGGGTTCGAGCCCCGTTGTGGGGCTCTGCGCTGGCAGGGCAGAGGCTGCTTGGGATTCTCTCTCTCTCTCTCTCTCTCTCTCTCTCTCTTTGCCCCTCCCCACCTCGTGCTGTCTCTGTCTCTCTCTAAAATAAAATAAATACAATAAAATAAAATAA